GCCCAGCTTCGACGAGAAGCAGTCAGTCTTGGAACATCTGCCGCAGAAGAGAGTCTGCTATAAACCGCCAGAGAAGACAGTCTAGTGTTGCCGAGATATTGCAAGCAGTAATTGTAACACTGCAAGAGCAAATGATTGTAAAGCGTGTGATTGTGTAAGTGTGAAGGACAATAAAGGTTCTACAGAATTTGAGACCTACGTGAATTTATTTGTAGCGTGACACGCAAAACACGCTACACTGGTGTCAGAAGTGGGATACATGCTACACTGGTGTCAGAAGTGGGATTGGACTTACACACGTGACAAACGAGCTTCGAACTCAAGACACGCTACACTGGTGTCAGAAGTTTTACGAACTTGAACACGCCTGAACGAATTGTAGTACCACACGATGGATATGGAAAAATTGTTCGAAAACCTAGTGCAGATGCAGGAAATGTTCCGAACCCACCAAGACAGAATGGAGGACAATCGGAAGAAAGACAAAGAAGATTTCCTGGCTAAACTAGACGCCAACCAGGCCAAGGCCGACGCCAGACATAACGAGATGATGGCCGATTGGAAAGCTTGGGGGGAAGAGAGGAGAACTACCCACGAGAAGATTGAGCACCACTCAGAAGTGATGCAGTCCGTACTGGAGCATCGAGAGGTCCCCGCAAAAGACGCCCCGATAATACCGGTCGGAGAACCGAAGAAAATGCGTAGGGACCGAAAACTGGCCTCGGAGCGCCGCCGCCAGAAAGCGAAGGATTCGTCAAGGGAAATTCGTAGACCCCAGAAGAAATTGGCCGTCGCCCACAGAGGGACGAGCCGCCGTGTGGAAGAGGCACGGCAGAAGAAAAACAGCAGGAAGTCATCCCGTCGCGCGACAGTGGCACGACGTTGGAGAAATGCCTTCAAGAAGGAAACTCCCCAGGGAACCTTCGGATGCCAGCGAAAAGGAAGGAAAGGAATAAAGAACATAGGCGGCAGACGGCCGCTATGCTAGTGTCGCTATTGTTACTTCCTATGCAACGGTCTGTTCTAGCGTTTCCATAGAAGTGACTCTTCTGGATTCCGGACACGTTACATTGCTCCCTTCTAAAGGTTGTTCGTCCCCGAACAGCCTAAAGGTTCTCCCTCGGTTTCGATTCCGCGGTGTTCTGCTGGCAACGTCTGCATTCGGTCTTGGTGTCCTTTGCGCGTCTTTTTGCGCTGTTCATTCTACCGCATCCGCCCCTTTCTTCAGTGGTGCTCGCCCCGAGCACTCCTGTAGCCGAGAATTTGTCGATCTCGTTGTTTTACATTCATTCCTCACTTCCGTTATCCACTCATCCTTGTTGGGGAGACCGGTACTTCTACGTTACCGGTTCCTCCCATAAGGGCCGTTTCCCTTTTTCCGTTTTTGAGGGGGTCGACCCCTCCACAGTGTCCAATTTTTCGCGGTAAACCTGATAATTCGTTTCGTGTTCTTCACGTTGACAGCCTCGTAAGGGGTCTTCTCTCGTGTTCCTCTCCTTCCTGGGTGCGATCGCTGTCCTGGCCTACACCCTCCGATGCCATTCTTGGTTGGCAATTTTTTCTTCTGGCATGGCGGCCGTCTGCCGCCTATGTTCTTTATTCCTTTCCTTCCCTTTCGCTGGCATCCGAAGGTTCCCTGGGGAGTTTCCTTCTTGAAGACATTTCTGCAACGTCGTGCCACTGTCGCGCGACGGGATGACTTCCTGCTGTTTTTCTTCTGCCGTGCCACTTCCACACGGCGGCTCGTCTCTCTGTGGGCGACGGCCAATTTCTTCTGGGGTCTACGAATTTCCCTTGACGAATCCTTCGCTTTCTGGCGGCGGCGCTCCGAGGCCAGTTTTCGGTCCCTACGCATTTTCTTCGGTTCTCCGACCGGTATTATCGGGGCGTCTTTTGCGGGGACCTCTCGATGCTCCAGTACGGACTGCATCACTTCTGAGTGGTGCTCAATCTTCTCGTGGGTAGTTCTCCTCTCTTCCCCCCAAGCTTTCCAATCGGCCATCATCTCGTTATGTCTGGCGTCGGCCTTGGCCTGGTTGGCGTCTAGTTTAGCCAGGAAATCTTCTTTGTCTTTCTTCCGATTGTCCTCCATTCTGTCTTGGTGGGTTCGGAACATTTCCTGCATCTGCACTAGGTTTTCGAACAATTTTTCCATATCCATCGTGTGGTACTACAATTCGTTCAGGCGTGTTCAAGTTCGTAAAACTTCTGACACCAGTGTAGCGTGTCTTGAGTTCGAAGCTCGTTTGTCACGTGTGTAAGTCCAATCCCACTTCTGACACCAGTGTAGCATGTATCCCACTTCTGACACCAGTGTAGCGTGTTTTGCGTGTCACGCTACAAATAAATTCACGTAGGTCTCAAATTCTGTAGAACCTTTATTGTCCTTCACACTTACACAATCACACGCTTTACAATCATTTGCTCTTGCAGTGTTACAATTACTGCTTGCAATATCTCGGCAACACTAGACTGTCTTCTCTGGCGGTTTATAGCAGACTCTCTTCTGCGGCAGATGTTCCAAGACTGACTGCTTCTCGTCGAAGCTGGGCTATTTATCTCCTCGGCCGCTGCTATGCAAACGAATCCTCTGTTATAGCAGTGGAAACGTTGCTTTGTTGGTTCCGCGATTCCTACGCAATGACCCATTGTTATTGCGTTGTCTCTGTGGGAACGCTTCGCGTATTCGTCGTAACCATGGAGATTCGATGTTCTCGACACAACAGCTCACTGTTGGTATTACAGTGTCGCTATTGTTACTTCCTATGCAACGGTCTGTTCTAGCGTTTCCATAGAGGTGACTCTTCTGGATTGCAAACACTTTACAATAATAATAATAACAATATTGATACACATAGAAAATCTGTTACATCCATTACAACTTTTCACTTCCATTTGTGACCTATTTACTGGCTTTCCTTCATAAAATTTTCATAGACCTTTTTATAACAAGCATTAAAAGTCAAAACCTAGAAACTAGGCAAAGTAATAATTTATATATTCCACAGGCAAACTTATCCATTTATCAAAAGGGAGCCTATTATTGAGGGATAAAATCTTTAACCAATTACCCTCTCATATAAAGAATGTTAATGGTAACATAGCTAAATTCAAAACTACTTTAAAAAAAATTTATACATGAATTCATTCTACTCATTAGAAGAGTACTTTTACCAATAATGAGAGTAGTTATAATAAACATATTTGAATGTAAATTTTATGGCTCACTTGTGTATTACATTTGTAATTTATGATTTTTTTTCATTGTAAACTCATTTTATAATGCCTGTTTTGTTATAATTATGAGTTCTACCTGTGCATTGCCAATTAATCTTATTTTCTGTAATCTGAAGGATTTATTTACTCTTTGTAACTCATAATTATTTGTTTATTGTGGATTTCTTATTTAATATGACTGTTCTTAAATGACATGTTTCTGACTTTTTATTTATGTAATCTAAGGACTTAACTATTTATATTTTATACTGTTGTAATGTTCCATGTAAACAGCTTTTGTATTTGGTCTGTATGTACTGAATGAGGACAAGTTCTGTATCCACCTTGTGGATGTCTGGAATACTGAATAAATACTAATACTAATAGGGAGATATCATCATATGCTGTACTCAGAAAACTGAGACAGCTGTGGAAGGGTGATATTAAATTGGATTTTAAGAAGACAGTTATTGTTGATACAGAATTGACAAATGAAACAAATAATGAGGTTTGAGCATGGGTTTGTGTTAATGGTATGAAACCTTTGAGTTCTGCTACCTTAGAATAAGTAGTTATATTATAAACCACATACAACCACATACATATAAACACATACCCAGCAGGCCCAGCAGGATAACACATGCAGTCACAGGAGCAAGACACAACACAAAGCACAATACACACACGAAAGTAGGAAGAGTACTCCGATAGAAGAAGATAGGTGTGACTCACGTATTGAGATACGACATAAGGATGACAAATCCTGAACAGTTTTAATATTTTTAATATTTAATATTTATCAATATATATGACGAATATATATTTTAGTTATTTTAATATGAAGACAGCAGGGCATGCAATGAAGTAGTTTGACGTACATCGAAAAGCACCTGAATATGGCACTTTTGTGCTGAAACATGTAGTGCAAGAGAGAAGATTAAGGTGAATAAATGTATGCACTGTAAGACGGTTGGAATAAATCATGGATTATAAACCATACTATATATTGTATTATAAGTTAAGATGAGCTGGGATAGCGTAATCAGTATAGTGACTGGCTGCGGGCTGGACAACCGAGGAGTCTGAGTTTGAGTCTTGGTAGGATCAAGAATCTTCTCTTTTCCACTTTGTCCAGAGAGGCTCTGGGGCCCACCCAGCCTCCTATGCAATGGGTACAGGGGATCTTTCCCTGGAGGTAAAGTGGCAGGAGCGTGAAGCTGACCACTGACATCCAGCTAGTGCCAAGGTCAAGAAAATGTGGATCTATACATGCACTATCCCTACATGATACAGTGCTTAATAAGTTAAGCACAGGGACAAATTTACCTTTTATTATAAGTTAAGGATGAGCAGATGTATTCATAAATATTTAATTCCACTGTGGAAAACCCGTGAAAACGTTATGAAAGGAAATGTTATGGTAACATAAATCTACATATACTGTTTCAGTATTCTCTGAGACAAAATGAGAGAAGGAAGGATAGGGCATGAAAAATATGTGTCTAGTCAATACCGAAGTAGACACAACATTTTGATGAAAGTAATGTTAAATATAAAACATACATAACTTCATACTGATTCTAATCTTTATTTTCATGTATTAAATACCTTCAATTTCAATCCGTAAATTATAGCTATTATTGCTACTATCCTTTTCTTTATAAAGAATAACCTACATAAGAAAAATATCCTGCTCCTGAATAATGTAAAATGATCTGATCCATATTAATCTGTTTTGTTGAATGGTGTGGGGATGATATTTTGTAAATGCTGAATTACTCTACCTCATTAGACCATGTGACAATGGGGTGCGGTACCCCTGAAGCTGAACATCCCATTACAACTTCTTCCCCTAGCTGCACTTCCAACAGGCCTTCTTCAGGGATGGGAGTTACTGATGGTGGATCTGGAAATAAAATGTGAGTTTCACAGGTCCTTCTTAAGCCACCTATTCACTTACACCTATGGCAGCTGCTCCTCTAGTAAGCTTACTGTCCCAGAGGCAGTAACAGCATATAATATCATAGCTGTCAAATACAATAACTCTTCAATATGTGTAATGAATTTTCACTGCAGAACCTCAGTCATTAATTTCTACCAGTGAATGAATCAATGTTGATAGGCATAGGTTGTCTTTCCCCTCACTTTTTACCCCCATGGTTGTCCCATGCATAAAAGAAAAGATAAAGCTATCCCTGTAGCAGGTCATGGAGGCCCATAGGATTGTGAGATGTCGAGGCTCCCAAATTTTCTAGACAGTCTGTTCACAGATGGTAGTGAGGTTGTCAGCCTTACACGCTGGCAGCCCTTTACCTCCAGGAAGATTTGTGGTACTCATTTTTGTTAGAGGCTGAGTCAACCCTGGGCCAAAGAGCAGCCATAAGGATTAGGTCAATTGAAAAATACAATGACCTCATCACGAATGCTCCATCCATGTATTGTATATTTAGTGCTGTTCATTTCCAGTTAATTTTTATTCATTGTAACAGGTAAATATTATATCAAGATGTTACAGGCAGCTTATGAAATCAATGAACAGATAACAATTGTGTTGTATAACATATCTGTCAGTTTTAGACAGATTGCAAAATTTGTTGGTTCTGACTGATTCCTTTTATAGTTTCTGTCAGTATTTCATAAAATTCCTAGGTGTTCTATAAAATACCTTGACTTATTTACATAAAATTCTAATAGGACAAAACAGACACTAATGAGACACAAATATATGAGTTACACTCTGTTATTATTCTAAAGAGGTAAATGAGGTGATAGAACTGCAGATGAAAAATGCACAAGACAATCAAAAGATCTGACCAAAAATTTCTCTTTTAAAAGTTTTAATGGAATGAAGATAATATTAAAGAAAAAGCTAATTATTTACGTTACATTAGGTTAGGTTAGGTTCACATAGCTTGGCTTGCTTTGGGTTAGGTTAAGTTATCTGAAAGTGTTGAGGCTCTCTAGCCTGCTTCACTTGTTCATCTTACACTTAACATACAGCCAGTATCAAGTTTAGCATTGAATGTTATGCCTAGACAGTGTATGAAACAGCAAATATTTAACCCCTATGCCTGCTGCTGTATTCCCATTCATCCCTCTCTGGCTAAGTCAATCAACCCATATACCCTTACACATTTTCGTGTGACCATAGGGCCTATGTGTTTTGAGAGGAATGTAGGGAATTATGCTGGAGATAAAATGTAGGAACTGAGGGGAGATGTGGAGGTAGGCAATCCATAGCAGAACTTGTGCCAAAGAAATCTGTAGCAACACAAGAACACAAAGACTGTACAGCCTCCACTAAACCACCTTTCCAACTCTTCCATCACCATGGTTGCTACACAGTTTTCCCTTGACCATGGTGCTGTTAACATTGACTGGTAGTTCAGTTTCCTGGAAAGTCCTTCTCTGCACACCATGCTGACATACGTGCACTGACTTTATGGAATTTATATTGTGCCACTTACTGCCCAAATTGTGTCATTGTCAACTCCAGTGGAACTCATAGGAAGATGGCTGTGCAAAAGCATTTCAATTAGGTTTCTAGTTTGGGGACTAGAGACAAACTAATTATTTAATACATGTGATGGCTATGTCATTCCCACTTGGTAGCAGCGTCTTTCACTTCCTTGTTTACTGACTCTCAATCCTAATAGTCTAACTTTCTCTTGTGTGGGCAGTGGCAGATTTATCTGACTTGGCCTCTACTTTTTCCCATGACCTCAGTATAGTGTACTGTATACATTGTACATCTGACACTTCACTGTTGGGTACAGAGTACAAAACAGCACTGCTTATGTCTTCTGTGTGGAATATCTCCATCTTTTTATGCTGTGCCATTAACACACTGTACCTACCTAGCAACTGATAATCTTGAGGTTGCTTTATCATCTGACAAAAACTGTCTTTTTGCTGCAACAACTTGACTTTCACTTAATTCAAAACAAAAAGGCTGCTTAATAATTTTACACTGAACAACCCCTTCCCTTTCTTCTCTCAAATTATTACTTATTACCAGAGCCATGAAGTAGGAAGAAGCAGCCCCTCGTCACTGGCTCTATTGCTGTGTTCGCAAGCTCCTCAAGACATACGTGGGGTATCCAAGCTATATGGAGGAGCTACAGTGATACATTGGCCCTTCAGATAACAATAAAGAGGTTTAATAACAAAATTACACAAAATTACAAAGAATACATAAGCAAGGAAGAACAGGGTACAACAACCCAATCCATGATTGTGGAGCAATCACTCATCACTACAGTTGCGACCAAGAATAAACTAACTCGTCCCAGTTTACAACTTCCTTTGGGTGTTAAATGGGTTACCCCTGACAAACACAAATAATACTGGAAATAAATAAGAAAATAAAGACACACATCGCAACCATCCTAAGCCAGCAGCTTGCAATCGCGGACAGCCTTTACCTTACCAGCCAGCCAGGTATTCAGAACAGAATTTAGAAGTACCCCAGCCGAAACAGAATTTCCAATCGCAATGCCCGCTAGCTGGTAACCACCCTCTCAGGATGACGTCATCTGACAGGCTGCACAGCAGGTCTTTTCTCTTTCCGAGACAAGGAAGAGGGATAGAAGGTCGCGTGATACACAGACATGACGAGGGTAATACGTCAACATATTGGGGTGAAGATGGAATCTAGGAATGGCAGCCGCCATGATATTGCACACAAAAGCAAGCTGACCTTTAGCCCGGCTCAACACAATATGTGACTTCTTTTGCTGCCATCAGTATTAATGGAATTTTGTGTGGATCTCAGCATACACACAAAATCACACACACACACACATTGGTATGTATGACGGGGTGGGTTGTTCATCTCAGAAGCAACGTTAATTTATTTTTTCGCTTAGTGGTTGGTGGAGTCCAGCTGGGTCCACTGGCATGGCGGCCACTGATTTTGCTCAGAAGCAATGTTACTGTAAACTCTAGTCTACATTTTGGTAGCCTGAAGGACAAAGGATTGTCTACTTTCTGGACAATGGTTGTGTTTCTTATGTTTGCTGATATCAAGTCCAGTATTTGCAGAATGCCTTGTCAATGTATGAAACAGCAAACACTTCATACTTTGCCTGAACTTGAAGACACGCAATGGCCCATTTTCAACTTTCCCTACTGTCACTTACTTGAGTCATGCAGATTTCCAGAATAAACATTTGTTACTCTTTAAAACACATCAAACCAATATGTGTCTATGTGTGTATGCGCGTGCATGTGTGCATGTGGAGGAAGGGCGCTATCTCAGGCCAAAGAATTTCTGCTTATTAATTCCTACTTATTACCTTTACATTAATGAGATTCTATTCTTCTTTAATGATGTAATGAATGACATTCAAGGAATCTATTTCACATATTCCATAGTTTCCACAACAGCTGTCATCCATTCTCATGTTTCATCTTCAAAACATTTCCAAAATTTCCTTTACATTTGTTGCTGGAGGGGAGATTTTCACCAGAAGTATCAGGCAAATCTGATATTTATCCATATTGGTCCAATATAACCTCTGCTTTACTCTAAGCTTAAACTGGACTTTGTTATCACTTACAGAGAACTTCAATGGCATGAACTTGTTGTATAGGTCCCCACGGTTCTGGCCGAATAATCTGACACTTGTACTCTCCTGTATCCTCAGCCTGCAGATCTGACACTTGCAGTGTGTTATTTGGCAGCATCTTGATCCGTGGTGAGGATACTAGCCCAGGGTTACTTGAATCTGCCACCAGCTGGTTCTCCCACCACCATCGCACAGCATTGTAACCTAAGTAAGTCAACAGTCATTATTTCAAAGTATGTTGAAATCAGTAGTAAACATATGCATTATGCCTGTCAATACAAAGCTACACATCTGATAATATCTACTGGAATGCTGTACCAGTGCTTTCCCATAAAACAAATAAACAGGAAGAAATTTCGTAAGAAACTTATCCAAAGTGCATTGATGTTTAACCTATTGATATTGTAACATGTTGCGCGACTGAGAACCCCCCTCCACCCTCCTCTCCACGGTAACGTAGCGCTCCCCGCCACTCCCCTCCGCGGTGACGTAACGCGCAACGCTAACGTAACCGTAATCAACGTCCTACTGTGACGTGGCACTCATTACGCCACAGGCAAGCACTGCAGCTATATAAGTGGATGCACAGTGCGTATCGATCAGTTCGAGTTCGAGTTCCAGTGTGGCTACCGCCGAAGACATTCCGAGTTATAAAGTAACAGCCAGCCGACTACAAGTTGGAGTATAGCAGCCGTCGCGGTAAGAAGATCCGGACGTGTGTGCGATTGTGTAATTGGGAGCGTGTGATACAGTGATACAAAGCTCCCCTACTGTCAACGTGTTACTACTGAAGACAGAGTGAACTGATTTGCGCATAGGGTTATAAGTCGTGAAACCCCGCAACAGTGTTAACAGATTAATGCGCTTAGGGTTATAAAGTGTGAAACCCCGCAACTGTGAGATAATTAATTGTAGCCGTTATTTGTAGATTGTTAAATAAACCAGTTAACGATCTCTACGGCGTCTTCAGTAACGTAAACACGTTACAATATATTACATTTTTCATATTTTTGTTGGAGTTTGATTTCCTTTGTTTTTCAAATATTTTGCACATTGTTACTTTTCTTCCTAGAAACTTAAAGAGTGAACACATTAAATTGCATTTATCTCAGAAAAAGGTTTATTATCTCTCTCCTCCCTCCCCCTTAGAACAAGAGTCTTTGCAGTCTCTTTTGTTATTTCTGTTAAGTAACAGAATGGATGTGTAAGCCAGTTGCTTGATATGTACAGGTTCATTTTTTAATTTTCAGAAAAGGACACTTTTTCTTTTTCAGGAAACTTAATACAGGGGATGGACAAAAATATGCAAACACCTCATGAAATGCATGCCTGAATTGAAGTGTTTATTTTAGCAACGTTTGTAGGTCACACTGTCGTATCTGCCCAATACCACTACCTGTACAACCTCCGCAATATGTTGCAAGCTTCATTTGTTGTCGTGACAGTGTTCTGTGCAACTTTTTGTGCATCACGTCAGAGCTAACAAAATTCGAACACAGGCAAATTGTTGGGGCCCATATGGTGGATGCTTCCGTAACCAAGGTAGCCGAAGTTTTTGGTGTTTCGCGAGGCACAGTATCCAAAATTATGACTGCATACAGGAGGACTGAAAAAACCGCATCTGATGAACACCAGCTGGAGAGAAATGTGTGTTGAGTGATCAAGACAGACGAACATTGCGTAGGATTGTGACAAAAAATAAGAAGACTACAGCTGAAAAAGTGACTGCTGAACTGAATGTCACGCTCACAAACCCTGTCAGCACCAAAACAGTATGAAGGGAACTCCACAAGCAGGGTATTTCTGGACGAGCTGCAATTCCAAAGCCACTCATCAGTGATCAAAATACCACTAAGAGGAGAGTGTGGTGCCAAAGTCATAAAACCTGGACTGTGGAGCAATGGAAGACGGTCATTTGGTCGGATTAGTCCACCTTCACACTGCTTCTGACTTCTGGCCAAGTTTACATCTGCAGAACGCCATTCCAAGCTTATGATCCAGATTGTTTGCTGCCAAGAGTGAAACATGGCGGGGGTTTGATCATGGTATGGGCAGCCATAGCGTGGTATTCTGTTGGACCCATCATTACCCTGCAAGGTCACGTCACTGCCAACGACTATGTGACCATTTTGGGCGACCAGGTCCATCCCATGGTGCAAACTTTGTTCCCTGATGGTGATGCCATTTACCAAGCCAACAATGCCTGTGTTCACATAGCTCACATCGTCCAGGACTGGTTTTCTGAGAACGAAGATGAAGTGTCACGTCTGCCATGCCCCCACAATCGCCAGATATCAATATTATTGAGCCTTTGTGGTCTGTTTTGGAGAGCAATCTGCATGCGCGCTATCCACCTCCATCATCGATAACAAAACTTACCATGTTTTTCAGGAAGAATGGTACAAGATTCCCTTGCAAATCATACAGGACCTCTATTTATCCATTCCAAGGAGACTGCAAGCAGTTCTGCAAGCCAGAGGTTGTCCTACACCATATTACTCACGGTAATGTGTTTTTTGTTGGGTGTTTCCATATTTTTGTCCACCCCCTCTATGTTCTACCTTCCTTCCCACCCAAGTATCAGTGCCTTACATTCTAGAAGAAGAGACTGAATAGAGTTATTCAGCAACTCATAAATGGAATACTTTAATCTAGGTTTAATGTACTGATATATTGGGTTTCTGGACTTTATCCATCGTCCTGGTTTTTAAGATAACAAATAAAAACACGACGTTTCGGAAACTGGATCTGTTTCCGTCCTCAGGTGAAGGAAAAAAGGAAACACCTATTCTGTTGGGTCCGTTAGAAAGAGCTAGCCTCAATCACTGGACAAACCAATGTCACAAAACATGAAGATTATAAACACCTGACACCAGGCTAAGTCCATGAGCATTATCAGCAATGAAGTCACCAATTCACATAGAAGATCTGTATGACGAGATATATGCTTTTATTCATTTCTATTAGGTTCTAAATTAGATAGACGTGGTTTACTCCACTGTTGACGCTAGTTAGACACTATTAGTTTTTTGTTACTAGTTCTTCTTTCTATTCCATGCCGTGGGGTCATGGACCTGGTTATGAGTTTGGTTTCGTGGCATAAATTTCTACAGATCTATCTATCCTGGTTCCACGCTTGTATGTGTTTGCAACAATTTGTTATGAATATTTTTCTTATTAGCTCTCATGGACTTAGCCTGGTCTCCAGTATTTATAATCTTCATGTTTTGTAACATTGGTTTGTCCAGTGATTGAGGCTAGCTCTTTCTAATGGACCCAACAGAATAGGTGTTTCCCTTTTCCTTCACCTGAGGAGGGAAACAGATCCAGTTTCCGAAACGTGTTTTTATTTGTTATCTTAAAAACCAGGACGATGGATAAAGTCCAGAAACCCAATATATCAGTGTGTTATACACCATCTTCAGAATCCTATAGTAACTACTAGGTTTAATGTGTTTGTCACCTGTTACTGAATCCTTGTTATATATGGACACAAATAAAAGTATAAATATAACATTTACACCTACCCAGATCGTTTACATAACAAGGCAGTAAGACTGTATCATTTTCAGATGTCTTCACTGTTGTTGGAACACTTCTGAAATATGGCTCTCTTGCAGAGCATGGACCTGTAAATAAGAAAAATCTCTTTTATGCATACAAGATCTGAAATAAAATAATCACTGATAATTTATGTATGTTGTATCACTTGACTAATGATTTGGCACTTTTATGATAAAGCAATTATTAGGGTTATACTCGTATACATGTATATATGGGTCTTACTGGATGTTTACAAGAGAGTAGTTCCTAGAGCAACGTCCTTCTTGAGAAGCTAATAGTCAATCAATTGATGAAGAAATTTCACATATTTTATGGAAACAGAAGGTTCTTTACTTTATTATTCGTGGGTGTACCACCAATCAGTTCATCTTGGTGGCAAGCCCCTTGAGACTCACAACTAGTAATTTTGTTTTGCAGTTCTAGCACTTATGTAACATCCTCTTTGATGAGAGGATGGGTCTGTTGTCTACAACTGCTGCTGGCTCTCGCCAGCGCAGTCATTCTCAGATCCGAGTCCCACTGGACTCATGGCCACATTTTTCTGTCTCAGATTCGAGACTCACCCCTGAATTCAATCCATGTCAGTATGAGTTCAGCTATGTAAATACCTGAGGCCAGTCTATGTCGAAGGGAGAATTGAGAAATTCACAGATTTGGATCGGTTTCATAGCATCATCTCTGAATTAATATATCACCAGATCCGAGTCCCACTGGACTCATGGCCACATTTTTCTGTCTCAGATTCGAGACTCACCCCTGAATTCAATCCATGTCAGTATGAGTTCAGCTATGTAAATACCTGAGGCCAGTCTATGTCGAAGGGAGAATTGAGAAATTCACAGATTTGGATCGGTTTCAAAGCATTGCCTCTGAATTAATATATCACCTAGAATCAAAATTAACTCAGGGATAGGAGCTGATAAAGCAGCGTGTGACTTCACAGCCTCTATTGCTTCAGAATATAGGTTGTCGATATGTAAAATTACACTTTCAGACATAAACGACAATTCTGACTCTGGCTCTTGACTCTGACATGGATTGACCCCTGTGGGAATAATATAACCTTTGGTAGATTAAGGTATAATACGTGGACACATAATTATAAATGGCCAACGTCTCCATTTGTTGAAAAGGAGATCCAACAAAGAAGTAAATAAAACATGAAAGTATTGAAAGTGATCAAATATATGGTCATGTTCCCAGCAGGGCCCAATACCAGGAGTGACCATGCTTGCTGGTTGCCAGAAGCAAGCTTCTGCTCCTGACATGGGTTTTCCAGTGACTGAGGCTAGCTCTTTGCAAGGGACCCAAAAGAATAAGTGTCTTCCTCCTCACCTGAGAACAGAAACAGCTTCAGTTTCTGAAGTGTCGTGTTCTCAGGTTTTTAGAATACCAGACAGACAAAGTCCAGAGAGTTTAGGACTGGGTTCTCCAAGAAGAAGTAAATCTTAAAGTTTTTCAATGTTATTAAACTTGCTGATGAAAAATTTGCCTCAATCTCTAAAAGTGACTGGAAGAATAGATGTGACCAGATGCAGATTACTGTGTGTATCAGTACAGGCTGGTAATGAATCAAATAATGCCAATGGTGGTGAAGGTACATGAAATAGCTCCACTGAACGCTGATACTGACATGAACATTGACGAATTTTAATATTCTGTCACTTCTTTGTGACTGTCTGTGTATGACTTAAGGTTCAAGAATTTATTGGTTTCCAGTCTTGTGTTATCCTGCTAGATACACGTTACGATGAAGAAAAAATGTTAAGACAAATGTGAGTCAGTGTTGTATCCAGGCTCTCAAATACAGAGTGTGTCTCACTTTCATATTGCGGCTGTAACCACTGCCCCACTGCTCCATGCCGTACCTCTCCTCACATGCAGCCACAAGTCAGCTCTCAAAACACAGCCTGCAATTAAAGTAATACCCGGTTCTGGCAGTGTTATGGACCATCTCTACTGCTATCAGACGCTCCTATCAAAAGTGTTAATGTTCGCTTTTTTCCTGGCCATGCTGTAAGTGGTCACAGTGCTCAGTATGTGATAAACTCTTCTCGGCCTATCAACCATGTCAATTTATCAAAACTTACCAACGTTTCAGGGACTATCCCTGTCTCACATCATCAGAGTCTTACATCAGACTATCATGATGGAGACAGAAATGGCCCCTGAAACGTCGGTCGATCCCAGGTCAAGTCATGTGGGATTTGTGGTGGACAGAGCGCACTTGGGCAGGTTTTCTCCGAGTACTTGTTTCCCTTGCCAATTCTTATTCCACCGACTGTTCCACATTGATCATCATCTATCATTCGGGGCTGGTACAAGAGGTCGATTAATGGCAGCAAAGTTTGTACTAACAGCTTAAACAAGTGAATATAATGTCACAGTGTGGAGAAAACCACACATCCACCTGAACATCAGATGAACGTTGCGAGAATAAGACTAAAATATTATAATAAACTGATTTAACATCGCAACAGGATGCTCAGATACCTATATTATTATTTGGTATGTAGTGCTATGTCAGAAAACGGAAGTTTCCATCCAAAAATCATGTGGTTTAACTTCCGCCCAATTAAGACCCAGAATTACTTAAATGAATTTGAAAAGAGACGCTGTGTTACCTATTTACCTCTGTCATTACCCTTTAGGCTGTTGCTTCACCTCATCATTACGCACGACGCAAACATGTGTTACTCAACCACGGCGTAGTGTAAACCGTAACCCACGTACGAGTATTTCAGGGTTGGTTCGATTATCGGACTTTTGTGATCTTGGTGTTAAACGCTGCGTATCTAATATTCTCCTCTCAAAAGAAATTGAAATTTGGAAGTTTTTACCACGATGACAGTTTTTCGAAAATCACGCTCTGTTATTTGCTGTTTAAAATATTCCACCAACGGATTTAGTAAATTTTGCAAATGTCTAAAAGTTCTGAAGTCGCAGATCTTCAGTAACCGAATTAAAAACACGAAAAGCTTCTGTCCTGTATACTTCCAGTGTGTTGATTAAATGGATAACTATGAATTTCACAAAAAGTGGTTAATTGTGGTTATGTTCGTACCTCGAGAATGACGGCACTAATTTTCCCCAAACTATCGGTAAATACGTACCAGACTACACAGCGTCACATCCCAGAAGAGCGTAATCTTCAGTTAGTTCCGTTTGTTAATTTGTTAGCAGTTCGTTAATTGAATCAGCCTGTGGGAGACGAGATAGCTGCCTCTAAGCTAAGGGCTGGCAGACCGAATAATCGGGTTTCGATTCTCGGTGGGGGCAGAGACCTCTGTCTTCTTCACAGTGTTCAGAGCTGTTCAGAGGCCCTGAGCCTCCCACCCAGTGGGTATCAGGAACCCTTTCCCTAAGGTTAAAACGGCCAGGGTGGGAAGCTTAGGTTAAGAATTCGTAGTACTTTTGCAGTAAGTAGGTCAGTCAGCTGATAGACCAGTCAGTTAATTAGCGTAGTTAGTTGGTTAGCCCTTTCCATGCTAAGAACAAGACATCTCGTACAGAAACACTGGTTCCTCTGATCCGAATTTATTTGTCGTGTGAGGTCATTAAATAAATATATTCTCCTCCTGTCTACATTTAAACCTTCGTGATTTTTCTACAATATAAATTACACGCTGATATTAAGAGAACAAGTTTGCTGAATAAAGGGTTAGGTCACTTATTCACTAAGTTAGTGTAGTTATTTAGTTAGTTGCACTTAAGGCCGCGCCATAGCTCAAGCGATTAGTCGCTGGCTTCCCACCGCGGCGGACCGGATTCAATCCCGGGTCTGGTCAAGTGGGAATTGTGGTGGACAAAGTGGCGCTGGAGCAGGTTTTCTCTTGAGTACTTCGGTTTTCCCTGCCAATCTTCATTCCACCAATTGCTCCACAATCACCCTCACCTATCATCTGTGGCTGGTACAATAGGCCAGAAGTGGCCGCAGTACAAGGGACTTAGTCCCACTCAACTAGCAAAAAAAAAAACAGTTGCAGTTACGGTTTAATAATTATGGAAGCTGTAAGTTCATTATTGTCCCAGAATCCACAGCGAACTGTTACGGCTTCTCGCCGTATCACTATCATCCCCACTCGTCACATAGGCCTATATTTCGTTGTGACCATTATCTCGTTTCGTGGGTCTTTTTGTTAGGTAATGGAACAAGGCCAGACAGTGGTGAGTGGTAGTTCACAGTAACACAAAAGACGGCTAGTTCTCAATAGAAGTCGCTCACTGAAATAATCAACTTCCATTATGGAACAGAAGATGGCGTTCTGTTTGTTAATAATGGAAGAAGTAGCCACATCAATGGCTTAATAGACAATTTGTCTCCAGGGATAACCAAAGAAGAACAGCCTAAAATCATAACATTTTGACATTTCTAACAGTCCGAATCTAATGATTCAGAAGATGCACCATGCTGATTATGATTATGATAACAACTACATAGAGTAGAATGCTTCTTACCAAGCTGGGAGTCGTTCAGTAAATCAAGAAATGTTACTGTTCTTTATGGAACCGGTAGGTTAATTGCCGTGCTCACAAGAGCCTGCCACTAAATCCTATTCTGAGCCATATGAATCCAGTCCACATCCTCACATCCCATTTCTTAGACAGCTATTTCCACACTATTCTCCCATCTACAACCAGATCTCCCAAATGGCTTCTTGGCCTTACGGATTCTGACTAAAATTTTGTGTACATTGCTCAGCTTTCTTATTTATAATACATGCCTCTTCCATCTCATCGTCTTTGATTTGATAATTCTAATACTCGTAACATCTGGCGAAGATTACGAATTATGAGGTTTCTCATTATGCAGTTCTCCCCAAACTTCTGTTAGTTTGTCTCTCTTGGCTCCAAATATTATCCTCAGAAATTTGCTTTCAAACATCCTCAGCCTACCTTCTTCCTTAGGGGTAGAAACAAAGTTTCACAATCATACTAACACACAGGTGAAATTATAATTGCGTATATTTTAAGCTTTTCGTTTTTTGTGGAAGGAGGGAAGATAAAAGCCGAATTTGAACTTCCTTTAATTCATTTATGAATTTGACTTGAATTTTATTTGCTATTTTCGTTACCAAGTACTATAATACCTTTGCGTCAGTGTCGAAGGATATATTATTAGCTACCTGTATCCTTATATTGTGATTTGTATTTATTCTGGTAACAGGACATGAACATGTACTTAGCTTTGTCTGTATTTTTCTTGTTGAATCTCCTTACTAGAATACTACATAGAATTTTCTTTTCTTTATATTACTCACGTATTCATCCATTAACTCCTAATCGTCAACATACACCAGAATCTGGTGTCCCATTGAATTTTATTCCCTCTGATTTTCTTGGTCCAATCTAATGGCATATTCTAAAGGACTGCAGTGAACCTCACTAACTGTAATAAACTATGGTGAAATGTAATCCGCACATGTTAGAATTCCGTTGGAATTCTCATCACTTATTGTAAACTAGTCATTATTTGTCTGCTTCTTTTTTTCGATCTCGTTCTACTTGCTCTCCTTTAGTTTCAAATATTCTGCTGAGGATTTTGTTCTCAACTTACCAGAGGATAACAGAAGAACCTGAACCGTGATCATTTTGAGTGCGTACATCTTTGAATTCCGCTGCAAAATCTCTTCGCGGCTGTCACAGTGAAATGTTCGTGGGAGAACTGACTCACGCGGATGGTAGTCGGAAGAGGACTGACTGCGGCGCTGACAGGCGACCAGCTGAGTGATCCTCCCGAGGACATCACACTTAACTGTATGTAGCACAGCGAGGAAGGAAACACTGGGGACAGATGCGCCTAGCTTGCATACACAGCGGGAAATGGGGGTCCATTCAATTTTGATCACACCCTTCTTCTACCACTCACCATAGAACTTCTTTAAATGTATAACAATGTTTCGTTTTCACCCAGCTCAAGGTTCACGTCTAACACATTCGAGATGCACTCGAGCCGTCTGTGCTCAGTCGGTTATAAAGTTATCTGTCAAGACCACGGTAGTTTGTTCCTCTAATATTCATGTCAACACTTTACAGTTATAACTAATTTACTACTTATTTAAACAAGCAAGGGAGGCACATAGACTGAGGGTGTTTGAGAACAGGGTGTTGAGGCGAATATTTGGAAGGAATAGAGATGAAGTGGCAGGAAGTTGGACAAAAATGCACAATGAGGAGCTTCATAACTTGTACTCTTCTCCAAGTATAATTAAAATGATCAAGTCAAGGAGGATGAAGTGGGAAGGGCATATAGAACGAATGAGGAAGAAGAGGAATGCATATATGATATTGGTGGGAAAGCAAGAAGGAAAGACACCACAGGGAAGACCAACGCGTAGGTGGGTGGTCAATATTAAAATGGATCATAGAGAGATAGGATTGGATGGTATGGATTGGATTGATCTGGCTCAGGACAGGGATTAGTGGGGGGCTCTTGTGAACACGGTAATAAACCTTCCGGTTCCATAAAATGGTGGGAAAGTCTTGAGTAGCTACAGAATTGGCGGCTCATCAAGAAGGGCTCAGCTCCGTAAGTGAGTAAGTTTAAACACGCAACGCTAGCTAAGTATCAAACTGAGAAACTAAGCAATAATGAACCGTGCTAATTACCTCACCATACGAGCAACCCTCCATCCAACCAGTCTCAATGCTAATTTACCGTGTAACTTACGTATTTAGTCCGCTCACCTAATACAAGTCCCTGGTAGTTGATACCGAAATTTCGACCCTGCTAACATCTAAGCCCGTCATTGGACACGATCCTGGGCCAGTTCTATCTATCCCTCTTTCTTACAGCCTATTTCCTTGAGATTCTTCTTCGATTGGCTACTTTTCAGGAGATTTCTGTAAACATATCTTGTCTTACATTCGAGTAACATGCCTAGCCAATTATAATCGCATTAATTTCGCTGTCCTAACAAATTATCAAGTTCGTCTCTATATTAAGTCCTAGATGCCCACTTCCTTCAACCGTCTTCCTCAGCATATTTTGCTTTCAGACATTTGTAATTATTGTTCAGCTGTCAGAATATGTTAGGACTTACTGTGTTGCTTAACCAGGTGCGGAAATGGCTTTCCAGAACTGCGTCAGTTGAGACTCAGGGGAAGTGATGACTGTATAATAAAGGAAATTATCACAATGCAGGATCTATGAGCTCATTAAGCGTTGACTAAAAAGTTACTGGCACGCTTAAATAAAGAAGCGTTGCTAGTTTCAGCGTACTGCAAAGCTAAGCATGAGTAAATACTTACACTGCGTAGTCATAAACTTCATGTTTCACACTACAAGGGAACTGACGGTGGCCATTTTTCACCAAATTTAATATCTGTATGAAAGCTGAAAGGCTTACTTTAATAGTTCAGTAGATGTCCCGCTGTAAATTGTATTCAGCTTTTTTTCTTCTTTTTTCTTCTTTCCCCTTGGCACTACAACCCCAGTGGGCTTAGGCCTACCTCCATGAACTTCTCCGTTCGCTTCGGTTTTTCTAGATATTACACATTCGGTAGGACTCCTTGGGCGGGTGATCAGCTGTACACAAACACAGAAAAACGCACACACACAAACTAAACATCCATGCCCTGAGTGGGATTCGAACCCACGATCCCGGTTTCAAGCGAGCGAAGATAGTGCATGCCTTAGACCGCTCGGCTACCGTGACCGGCTATTTTTTCTTCTACTTGTTCATTTTTCTTACAATCGATTTCTTCGGCACGTCTTTGTATATTTTGCAGAATTGAATTTAGTAAGAGCAGACCTTGTGAATTTTATAAGCCGGTAGATCATGAATTTGAAATGTAGGGGCTACAAAACCGGTTTTACCGTTAATAGCCATTGATTTGCTGATCATGACTGATATTTAATTTTGTTTTAAGTGTAGTACTTTTCACCGTTCCTTCCTCATTTAGTTCCTTGTACGACATCAGCACACAATTTTCGTGAGAGTAGAATACGCCCCAAGTGAAGACCACTTAGTTCTTGGAGTTTAGTTCCATGTTCCATGTGTATGTACAGTCTACTTTTCTTAACATCGTATTCAGGAGACAGTTCTGGAAAGTCGACCCGGTTTTGTTCCATCTTTTTTAAGTGACTCATAAACGGTACGTCAAGCACCCTTGCTTTAGCTTTGCAGTTTGCCCTTTGACATACACGAGGTCTAGTAATTTTTGCCTCAATCACAGTAACAGTTTTGATCTGTCAGTTCAGGCCTTTTCAGGTTACACAACCCACCAGATATATGAGTCCCACGAGTTTGTTCGAGATCAAGACAAGTGACGTCCCTGGTACACTGCATGCTAGTGGTAGGTTTTGTACTAATATCCACCGATATTCTACAATATTCTTGCGATAATATTATTGAATGTCTCTTTCTCTAGGTATTTCGCCATGTTTGCTTACACAGTTACCAGTTGAACGAAAAATGCGTTCTTTGCAAAATTCTTTTGTTGTTCTATTCCATTTTCCTGATTTCATCCACAGCAATTTCTTCATCTTCCTGTTAAACATTCTTTCCTTTAATGGATTATAAAAAGCTCATTTTAACAATGGAAACACTTCACATTAAGTAGTTGGTAGAACTTTGCTGCCTAGCCACGTGTTTATGAAAAACAGGAGATTCGAGGGGCCTCAGCAGCCCACAAAACAACCATAGGAAGTATATGGCTTCTGTCTGTATTACCTCCTGGTTGCCAGCACTGCATATCTCTGCTATGCGCCGGCAACAATAGTGGCAGCTGATCTAAAATCACATAGAAGAATAAGACAAAGAAAGGAGCCGAAGGAATTTACTTCTTTGTCGCGATTGGCAGTCCATTTCTCTTACACTTAGGCCTAGTTACGTAGTTCTTCTGGTGAGGTGTACTTCACAGTACAGTAGCTTCCTCAGTACAGGCGACATAACAAGCTGCTTCACCAATAGCGGCACATCACACAGTAAACATAGGACAAGTCTAGAAATGCACTGTCTAGCACTGAAAACTATGTCTCTCTTCCCAGGAGGTGTCGATTATCACAGATGTGCCCGCGTATATAGCGGTTTTGTTTCCTTTCGTTAGCTGTAGGAGATCCGTGTCCATATGTATCGTTGTTGGGAGAATTTTAGTCACTGTAACAAATAGCTGCTTAATACTAATGCTCTGGAAATAAGTTAACGCCGTCTCTGCGGGTCAATCCACATTTCCAGCACTGTTAATAACCATACAAAACAACTGACAAAATTATAGTTTTGCATGTTTCGATTTTTATTATTTTGGAAAATAAGTGAAGTATCGGTTCGCAATTGAATAATAATACACCAATACCCTTCCCCAATTTCACTACAGATCTAATTTATTTGTTGTTCCCAGACGCTTGAATATTTTAATGTCATCAAATTACGTACTGCCTATAGTTCCGACATCTTGTTCGGACTGGTTACATATCTGATGTTTCATTTGTAACTCGGACTTTGACTTACCAGTACAGGGTGTGAGACAGAAGGCATTGCATTAATGTTGTCAAGGTCAAATTACTCGGATTCGCGTTCTTATGTAAAGAAATTCGCAATACCCACATGACGCGCGTATCTATTTCAGCCACGTTACGGGCAGCAAAACTGTGCATTATTAACTTCGTGCCACTGCCATATCAGAACAACTTTCAAAGCTGAGCTTTCTGTTCTACACATCTCGGAACCGAACTGAAACTGCGGCATGGTTCCTAGTTTACCTGTGACTTCATATGGAGATATGGTGTTTTAAAACCAATTACGACAATTCATTATGCGTTCTTTTCACGAAATGCGTGAAGTCAAAACACCATGTCCGTCTATACATATATTTCATCTCAGGAAACATTAAACTTCAATAAAAAATGTTCTTGGATTATTTGCGCTAAAAGTTGCCCAGAAGCTTAACTTTTCTTCCTCTCGGTTGCATACAATGAACCAGAGAGTTGCAGCCACGGAAATGACCTGAATTCTTTTCTTGGACACCACGTCAGCACCTGCTCTGGGGACAACGATCCTTCTACCCAGTGTCCCCTGTCTTCGGAGTTCAGTCGGCCAGAGTGTGAAGCTGACCATTCATGTCCCTCTAGTGTCGATATTAAGAATCAGTGCAACAATATCCTCACTCCTTCACAAGTCTTTCTGTCATGGTATTTAATTCAGAACACAGGGAAAACTTTACTATCACAGTCCAGTGTATTAAAATGACGTTCGTTATGCTCTTAAGGCCATAACGGGGATAAACTGTAGCCCCTGGGGCCAAAAATATGTGTATCGAAAGAATGGTGGTGCGACCAGGAAGAAGCTGTAATGTAGAGCAGGCTTGCCTAACTGGGGGCAAGACTTGCTTGGAGACGCTGATACAGCCCTTGCACCGTATGTAGTTACTGTTAGGTAAACACTAGGACAAGAGGAGAAATTCTGATGAATTTAAGTCAGCTATTAAATACCCTAGGTCGGGGATACGCAAGAACCATTCAATAAACAGCCTGTAGAAGGTACCACGGGGCACTGTGGCCGTGGCCGTCTCGATATTATCAGTGCAAGTTTACATGGCAGAAGCTGCGCTCATCCTAACGGTTAGTGGAGCCACCCCATAGCGAGACTGCAACAACGCCATGGGATCGGCAGAGCAGCTGCACCAGCCTTACTGAGTAAGTGTATTCACACCGTGTAATCAGATGAAGAGTATGAGTAGGGCCGACCTAGCAACGCCATGGGACCGGCAGAGTAGCTGCACCAGCCTTACTGAGTAA